GACAGTCTAAAGAGTGGAGTATCCTGGCCTTGAAAGGCAGTGGGATTCCTTCAGACTCACTCCTATGCTGTCAAGAAAAAAGCATTTGGCCTGCTGCTTATCGTTTGAGTGTGAGGCCACACACCCTGTCTGTAAAGTGTTCTGTGCTTTAAAAAAGAGTTTCCAATATCCAGTCGTTCTCTTGGCAGTGGTGACTTGACATCATTTTTGAAGTAAGGAAATTGCACTGGAAACATCAGCACCATTAAAACGTTTAGAAGGAAGTTAATCTATCAAAATTAAGTGTAAATAATTTGAAAATCCAACTCTGATATTTCAACTGTGGAAATATATTGAATCTGCAACACACTAGTGAACATGTCATTTTCAAGCACAGCTTTAATTATAGAAAATGTAAATGAAGATACTTGAAGTATAAACCAGGGCAAGCCAGAGGAATATTCTGCTCTTAAAAGTAACAGAGACAAAACCAACTGGTGAAGTAAATGGGAGGTGATTATCAGAAAGCTCAAGCAGCTCCCAGGTTTGCCAGCAATTTCATTTCTGGTCTGATCAAATATTATGATTTCTGAGCACATAACAGCGAGGAAGCAAAGTTCATTCCCTGCAAAGTGAAACCGCCAGGACTCGAGCCAGAGCAGCCCAGTACAGGCATCGCATCAAATGCTCAGGGCTGCAGACGATGGCAGGGCTGAGTCCAGCCTCAGAAATAAGTAGCTCTCGCAGCGCTGCGTGTGAGCTGCTCATCTTGCTGTGGCACTTGACCATCTGCAGCTGCTTCGCTGCAGCCCCCAGTGAGTTCATGTCCATGAAGTCCATCTTAATGAAGTAGAGGAAAGGGTCTTCAGGAATATAAAAGATTTCCCTGCTTAGCATGGAGCTGAGAGCAATGCGAAAAGAGAGCAAGCGGTGCAAGGTAGCGGCAAAGCCCTGTGGCTCCTGCAGCTCCACTCAACAGCACCACGTTGCACTGCTCCTTGCCGTGTTGTTCCCCCAATAAACGTGCGAGGGCCCTTCTACCTCTTTATTTCTGCTTCCTTGGAGCTCAGGGCTTGCTGGTATGTGAAAGGAGAAACGTAAGCATATGTTCAGTTGCTCAATCAACCTTTTCTCCATGCACACTCAGTGATCTCAGCGAGTCATTACGGCATAATTACAATTTGAGCGTGATACGCTGTTTGTAGAAAAGTATCTATTTTTAGCTGAAGGAATGCTACAGTCCCTGAAAAGGAAGAGAAAGAAAGAAAAAAAAAGGAAGGGAGAAAATCCGTAACCAGCAAATCAATGCTATTGTTAACTGATATTATGAGACACCCTGTAGATTTACAATGCTTGCATGCAGCCACATAAATCCGTGCTGAAAAGAATGCCTACCAGGGGTTAAATTCATGTGCCTGCATTGCAGCCTATTTCTGTCAACACTCAGCTCAGGAAATAAACATTTATGCTTTCTGAAATGAAAGTGTATTTTTGAAGACTAGCCGTCAGATATTTTTTGCCCTTCACACTTTCAAATGCTTAGCCTTTTTTGTAAGTTGACTGCAAAGTGCATCAGTTTGCTAGGCAAAAAGGAAAAAAAAAAAAAACCCTTGACAAGTGCCCATGGCATCATTGTCATGCACAAGAGTTTCTGGTAGGAGATGGCAGGAGGGTTGGCACAAAACATGCTTCCTTCAAGCTTATTACCTCGGGGGTACCTGACTCCCGAGAAGCCTTTCAATCCTTCCAGATGACGTTATTCCCGGCTGTCATCTGCTTTCTCTGGAGCGCTGCTGCAGCCCAGCACTGCCGAGCTGCGGTCAGGGCACGGGGCCTTCCCACCAGCACAGCCTGCTGGGCGCAACATGGCGGCAGGGAGGGAGGCGGGAGTTGTCCCCATGTGCTGCGTGAGGAGGCACTGAGGTGTGCAGCGTTGTTTTTTAAACAGCCGCTGTGCAGGTCTGCACCTAAAACTCCTTCCTAGCAAGGCTCCTAAGAGTAAGGAGGCAGAGCAGGCTGGACAAAGTTCCAGACCCTGCCATGGGCAGTAGCACGGGGCTGTGCTGGAAAGGCTGGTGCAGTAGGCCGGGAGTGCATTCGTGCATGAGCTGGAAACTTCTTTTCAGATAGTCACAGTGCAGAATAGGAAATGTCTACTTGTCATGGAATAGAATTCGTTTTAGGAGACCCCTATAATGAGAGCTTGAGAATCAAAGCTAAGTTTGTCATGGAATACACACAGCCTTCACAAAACATTTCAGAATGAATCCCTGTATGTAAATACACATATACCTCTGTCATCTGTTCTGCTGTGACTTGCTGAGCACCTATTGAACAGGCACTGGTGGGATGCAGGACAACTGCTGGATACCGTCACGTATTCCAAAAAATCAGGTAGATTACAGTGTCGTACAGTTTTATATTCCCACGAGGGGCGCCTTTAAAAGTTAAAACATGCTTTCACTGAGCAGGCTTTCAAGGAGAAGTTGCTTCAATCAGGGAGAAAATAATCATGTTTGTTTGATTTATTATTGGAGAGTAGAACAGTGTGGTTTATATCTAAGAGTTTTCCTCGTAAAAAAGTCGGTTGATTTTTCGTGTGTCACATAAAAACAATTAGTATATTTACTGTAGCAGAGAGCAGATTTTTCAAGAGTGCAGAACAATAAATTATATACAGAATCCTATTTTCCCCCCTCACAGGACATATTTAATTTCCTTTTGCAGTGACACGATAAATGTTATTGAAACATAGCAGTATTTATTAAAAAAAAAAAAATTAAAAAAATACTAAAATAGACAAGTAAACAAAAGGAGAAGGTGGGAGTGTTCCAGGAAAAAAAAAGAAAAAAAAAATAGAGTAGAAAGAAATTGCAAGTTAAACTTTTTTTTAATCAAATCTGATTTTATTGCTTCTTGCTTAATTAAACTCCTCGGAAGACTGTGAAACATTGTTATACCTGAAAAATTGTTAATTTGTAAATCACAGGGACAAAAGGGCTCCACTGCAACTTTAAAGTTTCTATGCACGTAAATGTCAATAGAGTGCCTTCTCCATCATCAGCACTAAATTCACATTGATGCCTCTTTTCTTCTCTGTATTGATCCTTCCATGAGAACGTAGATTTGTATCTGTTAATTAATGCGTCCTGAAACAGCGTTTGTATTAATCAGGCAGATAAGAAAAATTGGATGCCTGCACCCTCATGACAACCGTAAAAGTGCTGGCCCTGATAAAATCGTGGATGGACCTCAATAAAAAAGTTCCTCCTTCCACTCAATAAACTAATCATCCTGCTTTTAATTATTCGGCAGAAAGATATGTGGAGATTGGAGAATGTGTAAATCTATTTACTAACAGCAGTGTCTGGGAGGGAGAATAGGGCTGTCACAGGACAGTGCTGCAGGCTATGGTCTCTGTCCATCTGCTGCTGCAGAAAAACTGGTTCTTGAAAGACGGGAAGGAACAGAAGCGCAGAAGCTAATTGAAATCACGAATTCTTCCCTATAACCTCTCAAACGATTATTTCTTCTCCATTTCTCTCTTATTTATTTTAATCACAGATGTGTTATTTTCCATTGTCACCTCCTCGAGGGTTTTCTGGCAGTGCTGGCTCGGGCTTTGTTGGTTTTATTTTGAAGGCAGAGAGCTACAGTTCTATCATGAGACTCAAAAGACAGTATGAGAAAATGAAAACAAATAAGGGGGAGGAAAAAGAGAGAGCAAGCATGCAGCCAGTTTTATATTTCATTTTTTTATGGATGCCTGGTGGTTTGGATGTGGGGTTGTCTTTTTTTATTGTATTACTTTTGTTGTTTAGTGCCTATAGAGAAAATCTTGTTTGGAGTAGGTGCCTTGCAGATTTGCTAGTTTATGAACTATTCCTGCTTGACTATAACTCTTGACTTTCAAAACAGAAAAATGCATTTAAGAGTAATCTGATGGCAAAAAGAATGTTCTTGCAGCAGGAACCCTGTCAGAGAACATGTAAGCAGCTCCATAAACAACTAAATGAAAGCCTCAGACATGCCTTAAGACCCTTTAAGAAAGGCTTGACTAATCCCCTTTGATGATTTTATTAAGTACTCGTGGTTGCTGGTGCCAACTGGCAAACTGCTGCAGCTCACCAACAGGCCAGGAAATCACATCGTCTCCCCTCTTGTTCCATAGCTCCTAATGTGATTGGGATATTAGCAGTTTGATATCAGAAATTAACAGGTACTGTAAACAAGAGGCTGAAAAGGTAAAGCAGTAAAGATGTTTGCCCCCCATGATCCTATTAGGAAAGACAGCAGGGGAAAAAAGAAAAAAAAAAAAAAAAAAAAAAAGCAAAAGTTAAATTCATTAAGAGGCATTTATTAAATTTTTCTTGTCCTCAGAAAGGTGACAGTGTGACTGCTGTTCAGTTGGCACCGTAGTGTGGCATTCTGTTCCTTCAAAAAGTGCAGCAGAGGCAGGAGCTGTTGCAGAAGGAATTAGCATCTTTTCTGAGGAGTGAGTTGCTTCTCTTTCCCCTGAGGTTAAAGTTCAAAGAGAAATTTCCTCTTTGTGCTTATCACTCTAATTCTATTAAAACACCAAATCTTCCCTTTCTGTTTTTTTTCCCCTCCTAAATTATTCTTCTTGGACTGTGGTGTAGATGAACAGGGGCAGGAAATCCTAATTCCACAGCGCTGGGATTTTAGAACTGAGCGTGAGTATTTCAGGGCAAAGAAGACGTGGTACAAATCCTAGACTGTCCTTGCAATGCTCCCCAAATTAACACAGTTCCTACAGAAAGATTCTACAAAAACCTACTTGTTTACAACTCTGTGTGGTGATTAGAAAATATTAGGTATTGTGTTGCTTCATTTTACTGTAATAAAGTGAGGAAGACAGACACAAAATCAGAAGGGAGAATAATAAATGTATGTTTTATGACAATGCATATAAAAATAAGTAGAAGAGAAGATTTATGGCAAATCCAAACCTGCTTAATAGTTTTTCTTGTGTTTTGTTGTGTTTTTTTTTTCCTATTCAGGATTCTCTACTTTGTCTCTAGCTGACCAGATGAGCCTTCTGCAGAGTGCTTGGATGGAGATTTTGATTCTCGGTGTTGTATACCGGTCACTTTCTTTTGAGGATGAGCTTGTTTATGCTGAAGACTATATTATGGATGAAGACCAGTCCAAATTGGCAGGCCTTCTTGACCTTAACAATGCCATACTGCAACTGGTAAAGAAATACAAGAGCATGAAGCTGGAGAAAGAAGAGTTTGTCACCCTCAAAGCTATAGCACTTGCTAATTCAGGTTGGCAGAGTGGCACAATGGTTGCTACATTTTTAATATGTCACTTTTCTTTTCTCCATAGCACTTTCTGCATGCTTGTTTTAAATACAGGTTTAGAACAAGAAGTTGGTAATCAGCCCTTAGTCTAACAGGTAACAGTCAAAGCAGTTCAAACTAAGAGGAGTTTTCTGGTCCTAAGTAATGGGGGAATACATTCCTAAGGGAGTGGAGAGTAATGCACTGTGATTTGGAGAGTATTTTACAGGCGAAGATCCTTACAAATGAATATGGATGCTCTTCTCCTAAATCCATTCCATAATCCAGATGAGTCTAATCATCGTAGTTAAAATGAACAGAAAGGATACAGGAGGATATGCTACATCCGTTCTCTTTAAATGCAGCTACTGATTTATAAGATAGAGTGAATTCAGGGTTTGGGAGGGGGGAGGAGATTCTTTATTAATCTGACGGGGACCCCATTTTACCTTTTGGATCCTCTGCATTTGTGGTAACGCTTCTCCAAAGATTACTGTTACCTGTGCAGAAAGAGTTAAAAATCTCAGAAAGATTTTTTTTTTTTCCTGCATTTGAATTTAAAAGTGCTGAAGCAGTGAATACTGCCAGATAAGTAAAAATCGTTTTTGCTTTGTTGTTTTTCCTTTTGTGTCTCCTTAATGCTTTATTGTGGTCTTAAGTCCCTTTTAGCATTTGCATAAAGTTCACGATAGATCCCTCTTTAATGACGTGCCGATCATTAGATACCTGTGTGTCAATAACGTGCTCTGATGCTATGTTCCATTGACAGTCACACCGTGCCCCTCCATCTGCTTTTGTTTTGACCCTATCTTTGAACTTTATCTTGGTTGCTGGCCAGTAGTTTTCCCTTTAATTACAAGAAGGAAACTGTCAATAAAATCTGTTAAATGGGATGCAATGAGTGGCTTGAATGGGCGGACGGCTATTTGTTCAAATTCTGCAGCATTCAAGGTATTGACAGTTTGTTTTCTGGGGCCATATGTGACGATCAATCTCAGGCTGGGCTCAGCCGCGCTGAAAAATGAAAAACCAGATTGCTTTTGCTTACTTGTGGATGACGACTTGTGATTTGGCGCGGTCCTGGTGAGATGAGACCTTCTGCCCAAATTGCCCCCCTGAGAGCCAGGACGCGTGACTGTTTTTAGAAATAATTTTTTAATTGATTTTGTAATTAACAGTTCATCTACAATATTGATGCATGAATCCTCAGATTGATAGGAGGGAAATTGTTTTCAACAATGAAGTTGTACTTTCCTATTTGTCTTTGTAATGTGATTTAGCACTCTGCATTTTTAATTGGAAATATAATTCAAAAACATGCAAAGCCAAAATGCTTATTAGTTTCTTTGTATTCTCCACCCCACTGACTCTGTCCCTGGTTTTAGAATATTATTTTATTTTCAGAAGAGAAACAAATCTGAAATGTCCCTCAAACCTCCAAGCTATTTTGTAATTGAGGATTTATTTAAAATTTTTGACCACTGTAATCGTACACTTGAGGACAGTTTGCAGCTACGGGAAGATAGCCCTAGATTGTTCATACTAATGGAGTAAAGCAATAAAGTTATCTGGAATTAGGAGTCCAAATTGGGGGCTTATTTTTGTTTTTCTAATTTTTAAATTGGTCTACTTGATTCAGAAGTATTTCTGCATCTTACTTGATAAAGAGGGAAGGAGCTAGAATATAGGAATCCAGTGTTAAATACTATTCACAGCCTTTTTTTTTCCTTTTTTTCCTCCAGAGGCATGCAGTGTTTAAGAAATAATAAAATACATTGCTGCCAAAAAAAGTTTATTCATGCATTGTGCATGGAGTGTGTTAAAATAATCCATAGCTTCATTAACTTCCCTGGGAATTACAACCAGGATAATGTCAGAGAGAAATACCATTTCGTATACTAGAATTCAGGGCACATTGAAGGGAAAACATTTCCTTCTCTCATCTGCAATGGATTAAAATTGCCATTTTAAAATGAAACTATTGCATGGAGGAGTTACAAAGCAAACCAGGCGTTTGACTTCCCTCTCAACAGAGCGGTCTGATGGCTGGCATTAAATAGCGCAGGTCCAGGTTGTGCATGCGGCAGATATCAAACTTACATCAACTATAGCTGCACCGGCCTGCAGAGTATCAAGCCCTCAGTGTTTTAATTACAAATACTGCTAAAATTAAAGTAGGAAAGCAAAATTGAAGTTTTGCCTGGTTTTGATAAAACCAGGAATAGCTTATTTGTACATAACTGAGGAGTTGGTTAATGGAATTGCAGCCATACCTGAAAAAAGGAAGTAAAATGCCATTATAAAATCAATCAGTTAGCAATTCATGTTTCAAAGTATTTTGCTGCTGCATCGACTTTCTTCAAGAACTACAGCTATTTATTTTTCTGGTTTAAAATAGAGCAAAATTTCTATAGCTGTAGAGAGCGTGGATGAAGTAGAATAAGAAATCGCAGGCATTTCGGCCACATCCATGCTGTCTGCTAGGATCCCAGGTTAACTCTGCCGTAAATAGTAGACAAAGGTGGTTTTATGGCTCTGCATCTGTGTTGGTGATTTATGACACAGTGTTGTGCTGTTTTCATTGCTGGTATAGAGAAACAGAAAAAGAAATTGTAGATTGCCTTAATATTGATTGTATTTTATATAAATAGGTACCACAAGCTTTGCTTTGGCCAGCATATCTGTTACCCTGACCACGAGAACACCCCAAGTGCTGCCTGTTCTGTTGGCCTATGGAATCTCTTCCTGTGGTGTTTAAACTCGGAGAGGTCCCCCAGACCACAGGGCCCTCCTCATTCCCAGCCTTTCCCTTCTTTCTTTCCCTGTCCTCCTTGCACAGGAGCAGGTTAGCCCCTCGGCTGCCCAAACGCCGTGATCTGGCACTGCCAAGCACTTTGTTTACCCACGCAGAAAATCAGCTTTGAATGGTTTCCAAAACATGCATGTACCAATTACTTCCCTGTGTGTAAGGGAAGGTGAACTATTTACAAAATACATTCAGGTGAACACAAGTGCACGCATGCACGCTCTGGCATGTAAAAGGTGACCTCCTCATCTTTTTGTGTTAGAAAATACTTCCATGTATTGATTAGGAAATACTAAACAGGGAGTTGCAGGTGAGCAGATTTTTGAAATTGCCTCATCAGTGAGGACAAAATTATGCCTTCAGGCCAAAATGTTGCAGAAGAGCTCAGGAGTCAGAACTCAGGGCAGATTTTTAAGAGAAGCTCAATTCCCATCTAAGACCTAAAAATAAGTAACTAACGTGTCAAAATACATTAGCACATTATAAAATGTTATCTGTGTGTATCTGCCTAATAGAGTGCTGGCATCTTGAAAAATCTGACCCAAATGTGGATGCTAGGCACTTTAGAAGTATAACCCTATGCACTGTTGAAAATTTAATCTTAAGCATTAATACTGGCTGTCTCGCCTGTGCCACCAGAAGGAGAAAAGGGCCTCCACTTGCCATTGCAATTTCAGGTCTCTCTTATTAACTGTCTCTTAAAAAAAAAACATAGACAACCCTTTCAGTGCCAAAAGAGCAAGAACCAAGAAGCATCTTGTGCATGGTAGCAGCATGAAGTGCAGAGCAACACTGATGCCAAGTTGCACAGGGATCTGTCTTGGTAGAAGATGTAGTTCTTACCTACAGCTCATTTCACTTTCCAGTCAACAAAACACTGTGCTCAGAGCTAGGCTATTGGAATTAAATAATACTATTATACTAAAAATTAATTGCTAGAGCCTCATAAATCAATTATTCCATAGGATTTCATCGTTATTTCCAATGTAGAGCGTGGCTTATTGTATGTCACAAAAGACTATATTTATTTTCTAACAATGCCATTTTTTTAAATTTTATTTAGCCATTTTTGTGTATCTGTCAGTGTTAGACTTCACGGTTAACACATACCTATGATGAATAGACATGCATAAAAACATATGTACATGAGCGTTTCATTGGTGTATTACAAATGTTTATTTCACCAATTAGAAATAGCAACTCCTTCATATAGTTAACTCTTTCATCTAATTTCATATAAAGAGCAAAAAAAACCAAAAACGATTGAGAAAAGGAAATTGTCAGGACAATCAGAGTTTTCCTGTTGCATGAACACAGCTTTTTCCTCATGGCCCATTTTCATTTAATCACATAGATGGCACCTGCAATGCTTAGAAGAAGTAAATAACCATTTCCAACTGAGATGTATTTTGGGTCAGTTGTTGTTCACCAGCTGCCACAGCAGATAGGTGCTGGTAGTCACCCTCTCTTGCCACAGCCGTGTACCAATGGCTCTCAGTGATAACATGGCAATTGTTTGCTGTCTTGTAGTGAAAAAAAGGATTTTGATGCAGGTATTCAACATTCTCTCTTAGTTGGTGTCTTATCCCACAACTCTATCATTCAAATACCCCTTTCCAGAGTTTTAGTAGCCTCACTGAGTACTGAGTATTCAAACCAGTTGTTGGTGTGCAACTTGTTCTACGTTGCAGAAATATTATTTTATGTAGTGCCCTCAGTACCTATCCTCATGGAAAGTTAACCATTTCAGGAATGAAAAAAAAGGTTCATTTACTGCGTTTGAACTTCAGCCTATGCTTTCAGTTCACCATTGATTCAGTCAGCCCCTGAAATAAGCAGGCATGTTCTGTGAAGTCATTTCTTCTCTCTCTCCTGCTTAGTTTCCTGCCATGTTTTAGAAACTTCTGTGAAGCTTCAGATTCCACGCTCTCCTTAAAAGCCAACCATACCTGGGCTATTCAGGCAAAGATGCTGTTCACAAAACAAAGCATACGAGCCTGTTTCACTTATTTGGTTTCTACTGCCTATAATCTATATGAACAAGGGATTCATAGTTTATACCTCTTTAATTTCCAATATATATTTCAACTGAAATGTCTGTTTACAGTGGAATAATCAAGGTATCAGATGATTCCCACCATACTCTTTTGCAAGAGAAAATACTGTGTTTGTTTGCTTGTCTCTTAGCCTCAGCATGCAGCTCCCAGCAGATAGTTCTGTTCAGGAAAGACAGATAGACAGATGATAGGCAAGTTCAGTTCCAGGCTAGAAAGGGCTGGGAATTCTTGTTGGGTGAGGTTTGATTTGCTCATATCACTCTGTTGTCTTTCTCCTAAAAAGGATAAGCATTTGACAGAAATGCAAGTTTTCCTGTATAAATATCTCACATTTCAGCAGGACGTGACGGAGCTCTGTAATTCTGAAAGCAGCTCCCCAGTGTGAATCCTGTGGCAGTTTTTGTGGTTTGTTTTGCTTTTTGTTTTTGATTTTGTTTTTGTTTTGTTTTGTTTTTTATTGTCAGTCATCCAAAAAATATTTTTTTTTATTTGAGACATAACCCAGATTAGGATTCTGTTCTTAGGTGAAGTCAAAACTGTAGTGTACCATTCTCACTCTTCATCTTATCCACTTCTTCCAGGAACCTGCAGCTCCCTGACCTGATTTACCAGTTCTTAGTTTATGAGCCACCCCTCTGCAGCGCAATGATTGCTGTCTCTCAAGTGCCTTGCCCTGCTCGTTGCTTTTTGCCCCTCTGATGTGCTCTATCAGCATCTTAATGTATTTGTTCACTGCTGCACACTCCCTGCTGCTTGATTCACTATAATAATTTCTTGCTTGATGCTACCAGAGTTTTCTGATGTGAAGAAATACTTCATTTCAGACCCCTGGGTTTCCTCTGCTTTCTCCTCAGTGATGCTGTATACACACTGCAAACCACTACCAGACACTCTTTCCTGAGCAGCACCTTGTATCAGCTTATCTTGTGCCTGATGAGCAATTCTAGTGTCACCAGTCAGAGACACTTCTTTTTCAGAGCATTTAAGATCAAATCCTGCTTGCTTTCAAATGACAGTACTTTCAAACTGCCCTGTTTAATTTCATTCTTTATATAGGCATTGATTTTTAGGTGTCTTAGATCTACCTATAGGTTTCCTCTGGATATTAGAACGTAACTGGAAATTATCCAGACTGTCCATGGTGCCAATTAAAAAACAAAAAACAAAAAACAAGTATAATTTCTGGGTGTTTTCTTGGTATAGGAAGAACATTCAAAATCTTTGTACCTAGCTTAAAATCCAATTTCACATTGTCTTTGTAATTATTTCTTTACTTCTGAACTGTCACACTGAGTCTGTGTTTCCCTAACTTACTGTGGTGCTTGTTGACATTGCCCTCTCTTACTGGTGTGGATTGGGCTTATCAGCAATAAGCTAACCTGCTCTGAATTCACTTCAGTGTCTGCCAGTCTGTAGTTACTGCAAAGATTTCTCTTTTATTTTTCCTCTTCTTTTCCCCTTGGCTAGTTCAGCATTTTCAACCATTTTCTTTATTTTCAAAGGCTTACGCCTGAGGGATTAAGATCTACATTCGTTTAATATCGGGAATAAAGTGGAAGTTCGAAACTGCAAGGCTAAAACTTGAAGAAGGATCTTTGTAGAGATTAATATTTTCCTGAGCAGTCTGCGAGCTGAATCATGGTCTAATTAAATAGCCCAGATTTAGTGAGTTTGCACTTAAACATTAGCATCCCCTAGAATGTGCAAAGCTGAAATGAGTTTGAATTTTTTCTGTAAATGGGAAGTTAAATTATCATAGTAATTTCATTAAATCATTTTTTAATCTTTCGAGCCAAATCACAACTTTAAGAGAATAATTTGGAGCTGTAGTCAGTGTTTGTAAGTGCCTGTCTCCCCTCTGGCTTTCTTACTCCATTTCCTGTTCCACTCGCAGATCGCTCCCCAGTTTCATACAGAACCAGCCCAATTTCCTACTAAGCTAAAAGCTGAACATCTCTAGTCATGTGCTCCAGAATGACCTGTCTCTCTGTACAGTATGGTGTAGAAAATTCTGCAAGAAGAGCCAGCTTTTGACCTGCCTAGAGTTTGTTACTGCTAAAATGCTTCTGTCTGGTTCTCCGACTCCATTGTGGGTTAGGGAGGAGGAGGAGGAGATGTGTCACTGCTGCATGAAGTGTGCGTGGTGCCTGGGAAATGACTTGGAGCAGCACTTGGAGTCGTGTCTGTGCTACGTTCCACAGCTGTGAATGTCTGAGGGCTTGGTAGAGTCAGGCAGTGGAGGCAATTTGTTTGGAGTTTGCATTCCAAATGCAGTGCGGTGGTTGGACATTGTGCGTGAGACATCGGTCACGTTTGTCTGTGTGTGTTAACATCTCTGTATTGATTACATCCTGCTTGTAAGGTGCAGAATTCAGAGGTTTTCTCTTATTGACATAATTATTTAATAGGATCACCATATTAGAAATCTATCAAAAACGTATGGATTTGATGAATGGACTCACTAAACTTTTAACTTAGAACTAAATTTTGCTAGAGATACCATTTCCCTGGCATCATTTTTAGAGTGTCTTGGCCCTCTGTTTCCCTAGCATAGGGATATTTGAGTCTCTGCTTTTGGCACAGTGCACCTCGATGTGCAGTATTGCATCCCTGCAGCGCGTGTCTCCCTGCACGCTTCCTAGAGCGTGTATCCGCTAAGACTCAGAATTATTAAACATGTGAAATTCCCATAGGACTCCATTATGTGTAATTAACAGATAAACTGTCATCAGAATCAATAAAACGTGCTAAATGATCCAAACTTGTATATAATTAAGTGTCTGTTTTAGAGCAGGAGCTGTAACTTTTTTTTTTTTTTTTTTCCTATTCAATTTGCACATTTGTTTTGACAATAGAAGCTGGAACATTTTGGTTAACCTGTTACTTACTGGTTTGTATTTTAGTTTCATATGTTTCTGTGTAAAAACGCAAAGCATTTACTATGGGGCCTTATTACCTGGGGAAGTAGTTGTGTGTAAGCTTTCAGGAGATGAATCTTAGATGCACCTTCATGCTTAGAATGTAATTGAAGTATTTGAAGCATATGGAAAATTTGTTGCTGTTGTCATCAGCAGGGGGAAAAACATGAGGCAAATCAAAATACTTACCTAGCACATCACTTAATGCAGAAGATGGAAACAGTGATGGAAGTGGGTTCTTCCCTGTCTACTTCCCAGCCATTATTCTGCCTAGTATGGGAGCTTCATTCCAAAAAAAAAACACCCCAAAGCAAACCAAAAAAACCCCACAAGATACCAAGAAAGCCCCCTACTAAACAGATTTCCAAGGAGATGCTGTGGCAGTACAATGGATTCACTGCCCCAGTCCCGCCCCATGCTGCACTCACAGTGTCACGTACCCTGGGACATGCACCCCTTCACAAGTCCCATTTTCATGTGATACTCTATTTGGTCTGTAAGTCTGCAGGCCATCCAAATTTTGGTGACTGATTCAGGTGTTTGGTGGCCCATTTCCCCTGCAGCTCTTCTTCCCTCCTCGCATTCCTCCTCCTTGGAATACATTGCTTTTTCTTTGGCATTTATGATTACATAAAACTGGAGAGTTAGGGCTTCTCATGTGAAATCATCTCCGCATGGTCCAGTAACTGCATGTTCTCAGGGACATCTTCCCCTTTGTATTTATGCTGTTTAGGGTTTTACAGTTATTTCAGTTAGATCTTTTCTCTTTATTTCACACTTCCATTGCTTTAATCTTTCCAGGTCACATAGCAGCTCAGTTTAGTTCTCTGTGTGCCTTTTGCCCAGACTTCTCACTCAGTGCTTACACCACCAGACCACCTCACCTGGAAAGGGTCAGGGCCAGGCGCTTGCTCTAGGGGGGTTAAAAAAATGGCAAATCCCCAACAATGACAAGACAGAGCAACCTCTGGGTGGATGTCGAAAAGGAGCATAACTCAGTGCTGCCTCTATCTGATGGGCCTGAGGGAGAAAAACTTTGCTAGGCCTATCAGGAAATCACATCAAACCCACTCTTCCCTTCCGTCAGTGAAGTACTCCTCACGCTGTCATTTTTATGTAGCTGTTGGCACCACTGATGGCCACAGCTTCCAGCCTCTCAGCCTTGAAGCCTGCTGCAGTTTCCCACAGCCTTCCCATAGCATTCCCATAGCTTTTCTCACAGCTGTGCAAGGCACCGTGTGGAACAGTCAGGGTGGCCAGTACCCTGGCTTCAGGAGGATGAGGAGAAGGATTGCTTACCCAGGAGTTTAATTCATAGCTCGGCAGCAATTGTAGTTACTGTCCTAAGGGTTGATCTCGAAATAAGCGCGTAATTCTCTCTCTCCTTTGTAAAAGAGGACGGCACCAGGGAAAGAGTCGTGCAGGCGTTGAGCTGCCTGACGTTCTGGCACGCCCTGCTGACACCTCCTGTCGCTCCTTTGTTTTGCAGACTCAATGCACATAGAGGACGTTGAGGCAGTGCAGAAACTTCAGGACGTCTTACACGAGGCTCTGCAGGATTACGAGGCCGGACAGCACATGGAAGACCCGCGTCGTGCCGGCAAGATGCTGATGACTCTCCCACTTCTGAGGCAAACCTCCACCAAGGCTGTGCAGCATTTCTACAACATCAAACTGGAAGGCAAAGTGCCCATGCACAAACTTTTTTTGGAAATGCTGGAGGCCAAGGTCTGACTAAAGCATCATGGGCTTTCCCATCATGCACGTTTTAAAAGAAAAAAAAAAAAAAGGGAAAATAAACAGGATAATAATGGCAAAGAAACTTAGTGTTTAATTAAGGAAAAAAAAAAATGACTGCACTGATATTTAGCAGCAAGACTGTGAAGCAGCTTTCAACTTTTTCTTCTGTGTCTTTCTGATGCAGTTTTTCCTTTCCTTTTCCTTTTCTCTCTTTTCCTTTCTGTTCTTTCCTTTCCTTTTTCCTTTTCTCTTTTTCCTTTGCTGCTGAACTTTTTAAAAGAGGTCTCTAATTGAAGAGAGATGGAAGCCAGGCCTGCCAAAGGATGGAAATCCATAATATGGATGCCAGTGAACTTATTATGAACCATAATGTCCCCAATGACAAAGGAATCAAAGAGAGAACCACCGTACCTAGCAGTACAGTACAACACGATGAACTGACTGAATGCAGTATTAGATTTCATAGGAGCAGTCTCTAATTAGACGACTAAGCGACGATGCATCGGCTGCTTCTTATCATTGCATTTTCCATCTAGATCAGTTACAGCCATTTGATTCCTTAATTGTTTTTTCGAGTCTTCCAGATATTTCTTAGGTTAGCTACAATGTAACTTTTTCAGGGAATAGTTTAAGCTTTATTCATTCATGCAATACTAAAGAGAAAGAAATACTGCATTTTTGTGCTGGCTTGAACAATGATGAACAATAATGAAGGACAAATGAATCCTGAAGGAAGATTTTTTTAAATGTTTTGTTTCTTCTTACTAACGGAGATTTTTTTGTACCAGCTTTACCAGTTTTCAGCCATTTATTAATGTGGGAATTTATCTTACTAAAGCAATAGTTGAAGGGAAGGTGCATATTATCACGGATGCAATTTATGTTGTGTGCCAGTCTGGTCCAAAACATCCAGTTTCTTAACATGAGCTCCAGTTTATAACTAAATGTTCACTGACTCAAAGGATTAGATTACACCTACAGTATATCTGAGTAGTCTAGCATATAAATACGCCATGTCAAATACCAATCTATAAAGGTGTTAGGAGACAGCGACTGTACAGAGGTATAGTTGCTATGTGATTTCTAACTGCTTCAGTTGTCGATGAATGAGATACTGCCTGTTTGCAAAATTATAACCTTACACACAGAGAAACCCTCAGTAGCTTAGAGGCAATAAGGCAAACGCCAACGTCTGCAAAATTAAGAAATCAGAGTAGTAGCCTTCTGACCAAATTCAACGATTTAACACTTCTGTACCTTATTTATTAATTTAGATTTTAGTTTGTAAATTGCGATTGTTAACAAGTAGCTAAACCAGTATACGTGCTTTTCAACCAGTATTGTCACAGCATGGAAGTCAGTCAGTTTCAAGACTGTTAAGAGGTGTAATCTAATGTATAAACCGATTAGATGCCCCCAGAAAACTACAGTCGCTGAATAACCAATAAACAGTAACCTCCATCAAACGCTATACCAATGTACCAGTGTTAGTAGCTGCTCCCTGTACTATGTGAACATCCTTATTCTATGTACACAGATGTAATTAAAATTGTAATCCTAACAAACAAAAGAAATGTAGTTCAGCTTTTCAATGTTTCATGTTTGCTGTGCTTTTCTGAATTTTTATGTTGCATTCAAAGACTGTTGTCTTGTTCTTCTTGTGGTGTTTGGATTCTTGTGGTGTGTGCTTATAGACACAGGGTAGAATTAGAGACAATATTGGATGTACAATTCCTCAGGAGATTACAGTAGTATATTCTATTCCTTACCGGTAATAAGGTTCTTCCTAGTAATAATTAAGAGATCGAAACTCCAAACAAATACTCGTTATGAACAGATACACATCGAAATCATAATATTTTCAAAACAAGGGATAATTTCTGTAACAGTTTATTATAGAATACCAATGTATAGCTTAGAAATAAAACTTTGAATATTTCAAGATTATAGATAAGTCTAATTTTTAAACGCTGTAAATATAGCTTTTATCCAATCATCTCTCAGATGTTGTTATTAACTCGCTCTGTGTTGTTGCAAAACTTTTTTGGTGCGGACAAGTTTCCAAAACTATTGCTACGTTGTGTGCTTTAAACAAAATAACAGTGGGCCGATGCGACGTCGGCCTCGTGCTAGAAAAGACTGTGTATCTATCATTAGCTATATGGGACTATATTGTAGGTTGTGTTTTCTCAGTAGAGAAGTGACTGTAGTGTGATTCTAGGTAAATCATCATAAGCAATTCATTCAGATGGTCAATAACTTGAAATTTATAGCTGTGATAGGAGTTCAGAAATTGGCACATCCCTTTTTAAAAAAAGTCAGAAAAAATACAACTCCTGGGAAAAAGGTGCTGATTCTATAAGATTATTTATATATGTAAGAGTGCAAAAAAAAAAAAAAAAAAAGTTTATTTTCCAGAAAGTTTGTGCAGGGTTTAAGTTGCTACTGTTCAAGTACACTATATATATATAAATATATAATATAAATATTGTTTTTGCTGTATCACATTAAAGAACTTGGGCTTCAGGGTCAAAAGCCAGTCGACTAGAAATATACAAAAACACACACACAAAAAAATGGAGATGTGTTAAAGGCACACGGTGCAAATTTTAGTTTTCGTTTTCAGTAATTTTTGGAGCTGCAAAAGAACAAGTATCTCAAGACTGTAAAAGCATTACCTGAACTAGAGCTAAAAGAACTGCACGGGCTTTACCATATTGTTCATCTTAAACCTTGCTGGAGAAGAGTTCTTACAAGACCACTTACTTAATGTGAAGTGTTGGGAAATTTTCGAAGGGTGTATGTTTTAGCCATAACAATTTAATTTCTATTTTTGCTTCATTTTTTAATTTTTTCTTATTTAAAGCAATATGATTGTGTGACTCCCAGAAGTTACACGTTTGTTTCAATCAGATCAGATTGTTGTATTTATTCCACTATTTTGCATTTAAATGATAACATAAAAAGATATAAAAAATTAAAACTGCTATTTTTCTTATAGAAGAGAAAATGGGTGTTGGTGATTGTATTTTAATTATTTAAGCGTCTCTGTTTACCTGCCTAGGAAAACATTTTATGGCAGTCTTATCGTGCAAAGATCGCAAAAGGACAAAAAAAAATTAAACTGCTTATAATAATCCAGGAGTTGCATAATAGCCAGTAGTTAAAAAGCGAAACAGAACAAAAAATACAAACAAACATGTCTATAGCTGTAGATGGGCTTCACATCTGTATAGCAATCAACTGTATATTTTTGTGATGTGTATCATACCGTGTGCTCCAACCAATGTCCATTTGTGTAAATGTATTTATTTTATATTGTATATATTGTTAAATGCAAAAAGGAGATATGATTCTGTAACTCCAATCAGTTCAGATGTGTAACTCAAATTATTATGCCTTTCAGGATGATGGTAGAGCAATATTAAACAAGCTTCCACTTTTGATTGCTTTTATTTTATTTTTTGTGTTGTGGGGTTTTTTTGGTTTTGTTTTTGTTTCCTAGGGAGGAAATAAGCCGATCAGCATCACCTTTTGTTACTTCCATTCAAAGAGTAGAGAGCATCACCCTCTTCCCTTGAAGTACAATATGAGTGTAAATAAATGCTATATAAAGCCTTGTCAGAATGAATTCCGATGTGGTACAAGACATTTTGCATACTCTTAAATATGCAAAATGTCTCATAGCACATTAGAATTCAGGCTGACAGGCCTTTATATAGCACTTATTTAATCTTAAAGCATCTCCACATCAACCTGCATTACTCAAAATCATTGCCTCTCTGTCAATGTCATAAAAGAAAACTTTCCCACTATTTTAAGATCACGTTAATATCATCTGGAAGTACTTACTTGCTTTTTCATCAACAGCCGAGCCTATCATTCACTTCCTACTGTAGGAGATCCATTTTGTGTCTTCTGGGTAAAAAAATATAAAATCTGTATTACTTGATCCAGGTTTTCTGAATGGAAGTCAACAGCCATAGGAGCAATAATATAGATTGGTGTTAATTAAGTGCACTGATAAGTCTTTAAGATCCAGGGGGTTAAAGCAGCGTGGTTCATAGCTGGCCCTGATGGCCCCACAGGGGTCGGCCCGCGCTGCCAGTGGACCCTTCTGGACCCATCACAGAAGTGCTAATGTGTGCTTTTCTTGCCTTCTAGTCTGTCTTGGTAGTACTTTGTCATGCTTGCCAACATATTTCTCACCTTCACTGCTGGCCGTCCTCTGGAGGCTCTGGCTGATGGTGCAGCGCGATGCTGGGGGCCTGCAGCATGGCGGTGAGCCTCGAACAGTGCGAGGGGCATCCGGTGCCAGTGGGAGGGCCTCCTCTGTGCTGGTGGCACCTTTGGGTGTTTTAACAGCGCTAAGAGAAGGGGTTTGATAGGAGGAGCGGCAGAACAACAGAAGTTTGGTTACGTATGGCTTCAAAGGAAGGTTTTAGTGTTGGCACCGACGTGTGTGTGCATACACAGGCATTCGTATGCCCACCCCTTTTTTGATGCTCTGATTTTGACTTACTGCAGTGTCTCCTCAAAAGATAGCAATACTGAACCGTACCTTAGGAGTGAAGAAAGGAGCGTTAAGAGCTTTTCACACACCGGTGAGAAACAGAGCAGCTGTCCCCAGCCGTGCTGTGCCTTCCTCAGCACGAGATTGCATCTACTTGCTGGTGAAGTGCCCCACATACAATTAAATCATAATTTCTTTCCATATGGGGATCGTGCAGCATTATAAAATCGTAAATTTGACATTAAAGAAGAGGAAATGCAGGAGGGAAAATGCAGGATACACTGAAATACAGAGGAATGCAGCTCTGTGGAGTTGATTGAATTTTGTGCTCTTTTTTTCCCCTTTTTTTTTCTTTCAAAACCTCTCACCGTCTCCTCAGCAAAGCCAGGAGGCGCACAGAGATCCAGTGGAAGTGTTGAGGTAGGCAGAATCGTTTCAGACGGCACCTGTGGGGAATTTGGCACGAATCTCTCTGAACTCTGGAACCAGCTGCTGAACCTTACAAGCCCGGGAAGGGTTGGGGGCAGCGCTGGTAGCCCCTGGTCCGCGCTCTGCGCTGCTGCAGCCCCGCAGCCCCGCTGCATCGAGGCCGCTGCCCCGAGCAGCGACCGGCGAGCCGGCAGCCTTCCCACCCCGGCTGTGCCAAACCGCAGCGAGAGTAGATTTTGCTGGCACGGTTTGCATCCCGCTCCCTCCCATAAGAGGGGCAGGCCCCGGGTGAGAGCACGGTTCTGGCACCGCAGCCGCCCGTCCTCGTCCCTGCCGCCGACCCCCCCTTGCTCCGCGCTGCAGCCCTGGCACCGGCGGCAGGCGCAGGCTGCCCGATGCCGTCAGCGCTGATGCAAAAGGGAAACATGCTGAGAGGGCTGCGCGGTGACACGGGGCTCCGAGCTTCCTTCGGAGCTCCGGTTCAAGCAATGGTCTGAATGAGTTTGGTCGGGGCTTTTTGTTTCGTTGACCTTGGGAGTTCGCAGTGTGAAAGCGGCTGGAGAACGCCAGTAAGAAGTCGATGTTGCTGGTCCTCTCAGAGAAGGAAACGGCTAGAAAATCCTGTACCCATCAGTGCTATCGCATGTGCAGTTACCGTGCAGTTACACGGGCTTCCTAATGCACGGACAGCACCGTGCTGTCGAAACAATACTGGAAGTTAAACAGGTTAAAAAAAATACATGTGAGTCAAACAATGAAAGATGGATTCTGAAAGATAAGCGAGGTGGGAATATTGCCCTTAGTGAGACAAGCCCTGTGCTGCACAACTCTGTGTCCTCCTGTGGGATCACCTGGCAGCAGGCTGCTGGGGAAATGAGAGACTTCGTGCCTACAGGCTTATTCAGCCCAAAGTTCTTTTTCTTTTTCTTTTTCTTTTTCTTTTTCTTTTTCTTTTTCTTTTTCTTTTTCTTTTTCTTTTTCTTTTTCTTTTTCTTTTTCTTTTTCTTTCTCTTTCTCTTTCTCTTTCTCTTTCTCTCTTTTTCTCTCTTTTTCTTTCTTTCTCTTTCTCTTTTTCTTTCTCTTTTTCTTTCTTTTTCTTTTTCTTTGTCCTTTTCTTTTTCTTTTCCTTTTTCTCTTTTTCTTTCTCTTTTTCTTTTTCTATCTTTTTTCTTCTTTTTCTTTCTCCTTCCCTTTTTTTCAATTTTTCCTTTTCAATGTTTTTCTTTTTTCTCTCTTTCTCCATCTCTCTCATCTCTCTTTCCTTTTCTCTTTCTCACTTTTTCTCTCTTCTTCTCCTCTTCTTTTTTTGTTTTCAACCATTACCTGTCCTTCTTCTTGCCCTGAAATGAAGAAAGTGCCAGCTTTCATCTGCTTTCTGAATTCCTATTTCATTTTCCCCTGGCCTTTCTTTATTTCTGTAACATTTTTTTTTTTTTTAACTTGCACCTTCCCTTTACTTTGCATTTTGTCTCCGCAGAGCGATGTAGATCTCTAATTTCACATGGCACATTGCTAATTACTGTATCCTTCGTTACACCGCTTGGCTGTGGTAGCTGCCTCACAAGGCGTGTGCTTTTCCTGTTTGATACGCTGCTGATTCCATATGTGTAGATTGTCTCTCCCCTGACACACAGTTCACAAACTTCCTCCTTGAGGCTGCTATTAAAATAAAAGTAAGTATAGAAAAGAATACGGATATTTTAACTTGCTCTTAATATTTTAGTCACTAGTGTTCAAAGGTGTTTGCACTGTGATTCTGTGATGCGTCCTGGCTGTGCTAATTGTTACGCTTTTGGTAAGATGAAATCCCATTTTTCTTCAGCACTCAGATTCCCAAGCTCAGTTTCTTGCAATCCCTCCTAATGTAAAAAAGCAAGTGGCGACAGATTGATTACACGCAGGATCTTATTATTAAGCAGAACAGGAAAAAAAAAGGAATTTCAAAATATAGTCCTCTGTTCCCAGGAGTATTTGTCTTGTTCTCCACGAAGTTAAAGGTCTGAAATAATGTGCCCATCAGGAGCTCAATGTTGCATGTCCGTGCCAGTTGGTCCAAGGGCTTGTTATGATGGTAATGACCTGCTGAAACGTGAGCTTTGATGGCAACAATACAATTGCTACCAGCTCACCCGCTGGGAGAAATATTTTATTATTGTCAAATGCCCTCCGCAGAGATTTGTTTTGCCTGTTCCTGTTTAAATTAAATTCAGAGCAGAACTGCATTATTATTTCTCTAGAGTATATTTGAAATAAACAACTAGTCTCCAAATTTAGGATTCCTGGTTAGTTTAAATTTTCTTATTAGCAGAAAAATTACAATAGGTGACAACATAGCTGCAGGAATATTATTATGGCAGCCATACAAGAGATTTACACACTGAGAGCATGGCCTAAAAGCACAAGAACTCCCTTCTACTTTACAAATGCCAGCCAAATTAATAATTAACTGTGCCATAAATTCTACAGCCTTAAAGAATGATGTCAATGCTTTTCTGTGTCACACGAGAGGAATTTTGTCATAAGACCAAGCAGGGTTCTCAATGAAGAGTGCTACTTAGACGCAGGATGCAGAGCTTGCCACTCTGCATTACCGTGGCTCGGTGGACGGGTGACAGCAGGACTTCAGAATCATTTACTACTGCTTTCTCAAGGCAAAACTGTGCCCCTATGCCTCTAAAATAGAGCACTTTTTGTTACACATTCAGTGGGCCAGATTATCTCTTCCACAAGCTAAAGAGACAACACGGAGTCCCAGCTCATGCAATTTCCTCCAGAATCACTCTGCCCAGCTGGGTGCTCCCAGCAGTACTGTCCGGCCATGCAGTTTTACACCTCTGCCTGCTGAGTGCAGGCTTGGCAGGCACTGACCTGCATACGTGGGGTGTGAGGGCCTGGGGCCTTCTTGTGGCCTCACAGCCACCGGCTGTCACAGGCAGGAGTTCTGCAAAGAGTAAATGCATCTGATGCCCAGTGGACATCCCTATACTGTGAAACAGAAACACCCCAGACCTGCTGGCTTCATGTTTCTCAGCTGCAGGCATGGCCTGCTTGGCTGGTGGTAGACCCTGGCCCAACCGCAGTGCCCACTGCAGCTGACTCCCCACAGCCTCTGCGTCATGGCACAGGGGTTCTGCATGGCCAAAAAGAAGTGCTGAGCCAGCCCTTCTCAGCATTTATCATCGCCTTCTTCCTGCTCCATCCCCTCTTGCTCCTCTTTCCTGCAGGCTTGGTGCTGTGCTGCCAAAGTTGTCCTGAAACCAAAATAACCAAAAACCTGAAAATAACCGCAAAATTACTGGAGAAAATTTCTGTGGAGGCCTCCCAGCTCAACACATTTGGGCCCTGATTATGGAAAGAAATTGCAGTGATGGGGCAAGGGAAAACAAATTCCTATTTATCAGTCCCTGCCCTGCCTAGGTTTGCTTATGTGAACTTGAAAAAAGCAGCTACGGGCTCCTTCCCACCCTTTGGGTGGATATTAGATTCCATGTGTCAGCAGTACAG